TATATATATATATATATATATATATATATATATATATATATATATATATATATATATATATATATATATATATATATATATATATATATATATATAGATAGATAGATAGATAGATAGATAGATAGATGGATGGATAGATAGATAGATAGATAGATAGATATAGCATCCCATACGTTGTCCGATAACGTTGTCCGATATGATAAGATTATTTTTTAAGATCTAGTAGAGAAATATGACTGCAAATTGGTATCTGACCATTTTTAAAATTAACCCAATTCTTAATATTTAAAAATAATTTTTGAATTTTATTATGTCAACAGTCCTTTTTTTTTCTTTTAACCATAGTTTGCATTTCACTGATTTCTGGAGTTGCCTTACTCTCATTGTGAAATAAGAGATCTTACTCTCATTGTGAAGAGGTTTTATAAAAGTTTAGGTGAAAGTAAATAAAAAATTATATTACTTTGCATAACTTGCATATTTATCTATTTTTTCAAAAGTATACATAGAAATATAATTTACTATACAACACATTGAACAATTTTTTTTTATTATTATTCTAATAGTTAGATATTATTTCAAAATCTTGGTTGCATGAATCAAATTTAAGGTTACAAGCTCAAATGTTTTGTTAAAAAATAGGAAACTAAAATGCAAACTTTATTGAAAAATATTACAAACCTGCTTTATTGAAAAAAGCTCAAAAATAAAAATGAAAAGGAATAACCAAATATTACTAAAATTTAAGTTCATATCATTTAAATAATGAAAGTAAAATATTAAATAACTTTCACTGAAAAGATAAAACTTGTTCAAATAAATGTTCATCTTCTTTTGAGATTTGGTACTGACGCCCAGAAGATGTTGAAGGTGTTTTAACAAGACAAATAACATTCATTCTTGGCACCCAGCAATTATCATCCCGATTTGGCCAGTGGTATGACCGACTTGGGAAATGTGGATGCATAAATTTTACCATAAAATCATCATTCTCTTTATCAACTTCATAAACCATACCAAGCCAGTAAAAATCGTCATATTTGCAAAAAAGATATTGTGACATCAAAACATTGTCAATTTTAATAATTTCATATTTTTGTTTTTTGAGGAAGTCAAATGTTAGAGAAAAATGATCATCATCGGATACCCTTTTTATTTTTATAATTGAATGAGAAGATGGTATAAATTGATGGAAACTTCTTGTCCCAGGAATAGTGGTTGCTATTAAAAGTCTATCTGTAAGTTTGTTTCTTACTAGCTCCATTTCTTCAGCAGAGACATACACAAACGTAATCCCACTGATTGACTTTTTACAGTATTCAAACATTGCTTGAGAAGACAGTATATGACCTGTGGTTGGACTCTGCAAGCTAGCTGTTGCAACAAGCCTTTTAACAGTGCCACCTATTCCATCACATGGAGATTTACCATGGCTTGTTGCAAAGAAATTCCAGATGCAACAAACAGAAAAATCTTGAGCGTGGTGACATAAATTGTAAAAATGTTTGCAGTTTTTATACTGCCCTGCACAACTATCAGAAAAATAATGAATTTTTTTAATTGTGGGACAAAGATGAGTTTTAATATGATTAATGGTTTTATGCATAACCTCATTGATAAATCCAACATCATGATTTAAATCATCTGAAATTATACACAAAGAAGATATTTCCAATTTCACTTTATTGTAGTAGATGACAACTAGATGAAGGGAACATTGACTCTTGCTCCAATGGTAACTCTGAATCTCTTCTTGTACTACAAACGTGTAATTCTCTGCAAAATCTGCCAGTACAATAGCCTCATCAATACTAATTGTTTCTTTGAGATGCTTTAAATAGCTAGATTGTGATTTTGCTATAAATGAATGAGAAGTGATATTATCAAGTTTTTCACACAGAAGCTCTATGAATTCATTTAATGGAAGTTTTATTGTTAATAATTCAGTTCTATCTGTCGTTGTCCACTGTTTGAAATCCACTGACTGTTCATTTTCATCACTGTCATATTGCTCTTTTGGATCACCATTTTGTGCGAGATACTGCTGGAAGTAATTTTGGGCATGTTGTATGCCAGGACAACTATTGCATCGGTGAATCATGCAAACTTTAGATTTTCTGCTGCAGAAAATTTTTTCAATAATTTCATGGTAAGATGGTTCAAGGCCTATAGCACTCAACATTAATTTAACATTTTGGTGTATTGTACACACACAAACAGAATGTGTACCTTTTGGACCAGCAAGGATGCACCATTTAGTTCGGAGACTGCAAAATTTAGAAAATCCAATTTTATGGCCTGGTTACTTTGTCTTATATGCCACATAGAGCTCCTTTAAGTTACACAAAATCAATTTTTTTGACATGTATTTTTTTCCCCCAACACTTACACAGTCTTTTTTACCTGGCATTTGCCTTGAATACTCATCGTCACAGTAAAAAAGCTTTACAAGTTCTATAAAATCTTTACCGATTCGATGCCGTTCAACCACATCAGGGTATGCTATGATGCCTTTTTGGTCGCGTAAAAACTTTGCATTTTGAATTTTGTGTTTAGAAACTGAAAACTCTTTTGCTGCTTTTCTGATAGGCCAAGATTTTGGGGTTAATGTCAAAATTTGAAGTTGCTGTCTCCTGTTAGAAACCTTAAGTTTTTCTTTCACGCATTCTACAAGGAAGTCTAGATCGCCAGCTTTGGTTTGAATTTCCTTTAGAACTTCATTTTTTGGTGCAACAAGATCGGATTCGGTTATATCCAGAGCAGTTGCAAGCTTCTTAATAACTGCTTCTTCAACTTGCTTTATCTTTCTCTTTCCAAGTGAAGGCTTGTTAGAGGTTTTGGGTAAATGAACTTTTAAAGAAGACACTTCAAGTTCGCATAAAGTACTGTTGAGCAACGATCTTGTTGATTCCAGTATAAGATCTTTTTCCATATTATCTTCAGGTAATTTCATCTCCAACTCGTTCTCTTCTGATTCTTCACTTGCTAATTTATGCCTGCATTGTGTACAAAGTTTTTCACCTGGAACTACGAATTTGCCTTTACTGCATAGGTATTTTGCTGTATCCAAGTTGATTTCACGAAGACTACCTAAAAAAAGGGAAGAACTCTTTTAATATGTATAAAGTTTTTAATAAAACCTTCAAAAGTTTAAAGTTGTATGGCATTTAATTGTGCACTTTCAGAAGTCAGCTAAAAGGTTAAATATAGCTAAAATAGAATTTTGCTGCCAAGAATTTCATTATTGTAATTCAAAACGTTTCTACAAAACTAAAAGTTTTACTATAAATTCATGATTACTATAAATACCTTTTATAGTTTTGTTATGAGTATTAAATGGATTGCAGCACCGTGTTAATTTAGTTGTATAACGCTTCAAATAAACATGTTTATGATGAAGACAAGTTGTTGGTTTGATATTTATTATTGAGAGCCCAGTCCTCCACATTAATATTTCTCTTTCATATTCAATAATATCTTCAAAAGGTTCGATTCCCAGCAACGATGTATATGTTGTAAGATGACATTCACTTTCTAGGTTGATTCCAATAGAGCACTTTCGACTGTTTGCCATGACTAAGAAACTGAATTACCAAACAAGATTTAATAATTATTTAATCTAAAATTAAAATAATTTTTTTTATTGAAATTTGTTATTATTAACTGTTGTTTTAAAACTATATTTAGACACATAACTGACGTCCCAAAACTATATTTACACATCACAGCAGGTGTTGCAAAACTATATTTTTCATGATAATTCACTTCACAAAATTTTATTTCTATATCAAAATCAACCTTAATAAACTGTTTTTACACACCACAATTGAACCCATGAGAGTCAGGCAATTTGTGAAAATGTTACCCCGTTTTTTGGTTAGCTAATATTATACCATTTTAAAATTCAAATATTATTTTAAAATATTAGGAATTGGGTTAATTTCTCTTCGTCTTTGTATTCAACACCTTTAAAAATGGTCAGATACCAATTTGCAGTCATATTTCTCTACTAGATCTTAAATTATTCACACAATAAGTATCGCTATAAAATCTATAATAGAGAATAGATGCCAAATAAAGAAATTTTTTGTCTAAATTTCAAAATGAAATAACTTTTCTATGCTTTAAGAAGCCAAAACCATTTTTTTTATAAAGATAGCCTAGGATCACCTACTTCATTTGAAAAAAAAATCGAATCCATGAGACTTGGGCAACTTCGGGAATTAATGAAAGCGCAACCCATGGTTACAAAACAAAAAATTTGACTGGCCATTTTAAAATGAAAAAATAACTATCAAAAAATTTAAATTTCACTATTTTATCTACATTTTTGAATTCAGCACCCTCAAAAATGGTCAGGTACTGATTTTCAGCCACATTCCTCCACTAGATCTTAAATTATTCAATTAAAAGTACTACTACAAAGTTCATAATGGCGGAAGTGGAAAAAAATAGGACGTTTTAGGCTGAATTTCAAAATGTCATAACTTTTGAACGGTTTGGATTTGGAAGCTCAAACTTTACATTTTTTTTTGTTATATTGATAGGTACCACTGGTTCAAATTTGAAAGAAATCTGAGAGGGTGACTGAAAAATTTCAATTTTTTGTCCCACTTTTACATGGAATTACCCAACTGCCAACCTAAAAGTGCTGACCTCGTTTCTATGTTTTATGGTAAGACCATTGTATCAATTTTTTTTTGCTGACCTCTAAAAGATTGAGGTCGTCAAATTATTGCTGACCTCATTTTTTCTATATGTATATATATATATATATATATATATATATATATATATATATATATATATATATATATATATATATATATATATATATATATATATATATATATATATATATATATATATATATATATGATATATATATATATATATATATATATATATATATATATATATATATATATATATATATATATATATATATATATATATATATATATATATACATACATATATTCATTTAAACACTTTTCTACCTGTAACAATAAGACTTTAGTTTTATTCAACTGCATAGACATTGGAACAACAATCTTTTCAATGTTGCGGTGATGCACATATTTACATATATCTATGCTTTCCTCTGTACGTACCTCAACATGGGATATCAAAAGATTACTTATCACTTGTTGCACTGCCTAAATTTAAAATTATCAAAAATTAATATCTAAGAAACTAAAATGTAAAAGGATTAGTTTAATTAAATGTAAAAGGATTAGTTTGGAATTGTTTTAAATGCAGTAAATGTGGTATGTGGTAAAATGCGGTTCTCTAAAATTTCAACTTAATTAAATCTTAAAACTCTTAGATTCAAAAACTTTCACTTTTTAATACTTTTTAAATTCAAAAACACTTTTTAATAATTTTATTTGTAAAAGATTATCTAATAATAATCGTTCTATACATCTTTTTATACTATTAACATAAACCATGCATTTTACTTAATAATTAATTAGCAGACATGAATCGTTTCTCTGCGCAGTGACCTTGTTTGTCAAAGCACATTTTTCAAAGTTAAATGGTTAATAGAAGTTTGTAACAACAAGATAAAAAAATAAGCAGCACCCTTGAGTGTAGAGGGCTCCCTTAGCCCACTATAGTCAATATCCATATGGCAACTGTAAAAACAATAAAATATAAAGCCAAATAAGACAACTGTAACCAAATACTTAATCATTGTAAAAAATAAATACCATAAAGAAAATACAAGGTTTCTTTCATACTTCAGCATTCTAAATGCATTTTTCGAATTATTAATTGTCTATTTTCATATTTTACTCACTGTTTTTTTATTTTATTAGAGAAAGAATGTTGTGAAAATGTCATTTTAAGAAACTGAGACAATTTTAAAATTTGGGAATTCTTGGGAATCTTGTAATATTTTAGGTTAAAATTTTATGCAAATTTCTTTGTAAAACAGTTAGTGCAAGAAGTTTAAAGAAAATGATTTTTGTTTTTTATGTATTTTCTGTACTTTATATATAATTAATTTAGTTATTTAAGTTGATGATAACTAACAATGGTAATTAAATATTCAGATTTAAGTAGATATCTAACCTAGATATTATGCCTAGGTACTAGGCACCCTAAATGATTAGCTACATGTATCTTTTATAAGAAAGTTGCAGTTACCAAAAAAACTCCCTATTGTAGCCGTAACAACATATACCAAAATAATGACGAGTGCTTACATGCTTATGCACAATACAGTCATCATATCACAATTTACAGCTGTTGAAAAAAATCAGCCTTTTGAATGCTTCCACAGAGTTAGGAAAACTGTAAAAGCTGTAGTTGTACTTTCATTATGAGATGAAATGCATTCAGAAAGCAACATAAGCAAGGATGAAACTAAAATGAAACCACAAGTAAAAAATTCATAAATTAAAGATCAAAACTAGCATATTAATTTTAGCATATGGTGTACACCCTATTTTTTGATACACCCTATGTTTTGATACACCCTATGCTTTGATACAAACTATGTTCTGACTTAAGAAAATTAAAGAATGGTATGAACTATTTAATCACTGCTAGTTGAATTGAAAGAAAAAAAACTTAAAAAAAGCTTTTTATTAACAACTTACTTTCATATCTGAACCAGGTGTTGCACTTAAAGCGAGTACACGAAAATTCGATCTATACCTCATAACTTCCTTAACAACCTAAAACAAAATTACTGCATTTAATAACCTCAACATCATCATCATCATCATCATCATTATCATCATCATCATCATCATCATCATCATCATTATCATAATGATTATTATCATAGTTATCATCATCATCAAAGTTTTCAAAAAAAAAATTATAAAATCAAAAGTTATAATGTATAATTATTTAAACCTGACAGTAAGCATGATTTCCTAAAGCTCTGTGAGCTTCGTCAAATACCAAACAAACTACATCAGGTGCAAAACAACTACCTCGTCCCAGATCATTTTGAAAAACTTGTGGCGTTAAAAAAAAAACTCGTTTGGTTTTCCAGAGAAGTTCTCTTTTGACAGGTGCCATGATACCTAAAATACAATTATGAATTAAAGTTGCTAAAGTAAAACTGCAAAGTCAGCTAACCTAAAATAAAACTGCACTTATAGTCAGCTAACTAAAAGATGTAAATAAGCTTTTTAACATGCCAAAAAATAAATTGAAAAAAAAAAATTATGTGATTATCAAGACTTAAAAGCATTTCAACTTGGTTGAAATGCTTTTTGCTAAAGTTCACACCAAATGTGCTTTTATACTCAAAAGTTTACAAATGTTGCTACAGTTTGAATTATTTAAACATGCTAAGCGTTTTTGGTTTTTGAGACCCTTTTTTGATATTTTATGAGATCCATATATTTGTGTTCATTACTCATACCAATTACAAATAAGCATGATTTGCAGAAAATCTATTAAACCCAAATGTATTCAATTTAAACCCAAATGTATTCAAACCCATATGAAATCAAATAGTTTTTCAAAAGTGCCCCATAGTACCACCTCAGATTGGCTTCAAATTTTGACCACCCAGAGTTTTTACTTCTACCATCCTGAGTATATTTTTTGATTAAAAAGTCATTTAAAAAATTCATAAATCATTTAAAAAATCATAAATGTTTTATTTTTGGTTTAAAGCTCTATTCCAAAGAACCACTGATCCCTTTTTTTACAATACCTTGAATTTGTGAGCTAAACTCTAGTCATAAGTATGCTATTTCTAACAACTAAATTCTAAAAACTTTCTAAACACCAATGTTTTTCCCAAGTAAAAGGTTTTTAACTGTATTTGAAGAAAGATAATTCCCACATTTTTCAATGAATGTTAAACAAATTTACAATGATAAATTTACAATGACTTAATGTAGATTAGCTCCTTATTGGATAAAATAAGACCTTCCAGATCCTGCATGTGGATTAGCTCCTTATTGGATAAAATATAAGATCTTTTAGATCCTGCACGATGTTGGATGCAACCTGTCATTTTAAATATTTTCAGAGTAGTCCTGATGAAATTCTCTGAAACTTTTAATCTTTTTTTTGTTGTTGTTGAAAAATATTTATAAAAAGGCTTAAAACATAAACGAGATGGTCATTATAAATAATTTTAATTTTAACAAATTAACAAAATAATTAGGTTAGCGGGTGGAAGAAGTAGAATGGAAATCAACTTAAAAGTTTTTCCATCTATTTTTTTTTTATTTTTATTTTTTTACAATAATTAAACTATGTAACTTAAAGTGAACTTGCAATAGATATGTCAGTTGTGGAGATAATTTTCCAATTGATCAAAAAAAATTATTTAACAAATATGCTTACTTGTTATGCCTAAAAAAATATTATAGTGCCTATTTTGTATGTGTGTGCATTTTTATATAAATAAACATTAATCAGACTGTATTTGGGCCCAAATTTAGAAATTATCTAAAATCCTGTTTATATATATATATATATATATATATATATATATATATATATATATATATATATATATATATATATATATATATATATATATATATATATATATATATATATATATATATATATATATATATATGTATATATATATATATATATATATATATATATATATATATATATATATATATATATATATATATTTGTTTAAATTAAAAAATAAAAAATTTCAACATAGTTTAAAAACTGTACTTGTGTAAATATTGGGTTGAAAATATTGTAAATGATTTATTTATATTATATAAGTTTAAGATTTTATTTTAAATACCTGTCATTTCTACTGTATCAACTTGAGGAATTCCTGTGATTTTGTAGCATGCTTCAATTTGCTGGGCAACTAAAGGTTTTGTAGGAGCCATAAATATCAACTTTCCTTTAGGATACCAACGATAAAAGTTGTACATAACTACAGATGCAAGAAACGTTTTTCCTAAACCAGTTGGAAGAACAACAAGAGTATTTTCAAGTAATGCTTTTCTCACAATGTTGAATTGATAGTCTCTTATTGGGTAATTTATTGGATATATATAAGTTGATCCAATGTTTTCATCAAATCCAGGAATAACCTCATGACAACTACCCTGTTTAAATCTTGTATCTAAATACACTTCTTGTTCAACACTTTCTGTGTTTTCAACAGCTTTTACCAGATCATTATCATCAGTAAATAAATTAAAAATTTCCTCTCCACCATCAACCTCATTCTCATTGCCTATAATAAATTATGCAAATAAAAAAATCAGTTTTAATAATTAAGCTTATCTGTTTACCCTATAAATAACTATAGCAGACCTTACAGATCGTTTTTAGACATCGATTAAACTTTTGTTTAATAGTTGTTAATAAGCTTATACCTTGAATAATTTTTTCACATTGTATTTGTGATTGTTGTGCTTCGGTGTTATATTTTCTACAGTCTTTTTTTTCATTAATCTCGGAACTCTGTTTCTTAAAATAGCCCCAAGTGTCTAGAATTGTGGCTTGATTAGTTGACTTGATTGATTGTGATTGGTTGACTTGATTTATTGCAGGCAGCTTAAACTTTTTCATTTAAACTTGTTTAGAATAATGAAGTAAGCTTAATTAAAAATACAATAACATTAAAATGTAGTTACAATTGTTTTGATCTTGATTTTGAAAGCTGATATAACCATTTGTTTGATCAGCTTATAAAATAAAAAAAACTAAAAACATATTTTTGGCTGGGTAGAAATGTATGATAGTGTAAAAGCCTTTAACGCATTAGGGCATAAATTTCACATACTTTTTTTAATTTCTAAAATAAAAATAACATTTGAAGTGCTTGATTTTTTTTAACGACAAAAAACATTTTTAAATTATGGTCAAGGAGTTTGTTAAATACAGCTATTTATTGATTTGTAAAGATTTACAATTTTTATATACATTCACTTATTCAAGCTAGAAATTAACAGAAAGTAAAAAAGTGAGTTGAAGATAAAAAAAGACAGAAGACTTAAAAACTTATATGAGTCAAGTAAACATGAAAAAATAACCAAGAAATTTAATAGCAGAGAAGTTTGAAATTAAGTTGGATGTAAATCCTAAAAAATTTTTTGGTTTAAGATAAAGATTAGATAGGGATGTAATAGATTTAATGTATAAATATATGTACATAAAAGTCTTTATCCTAAAAAACATAAATTTTCTTTACTTAAAAGCAAAAAAACAATTGTATATTTTAATGATTACAAATTTTAAGCATTTAATAACAGTTATTTTTTACTATATTTAAAATAAACAGATATTTTTTGCTTTTTAATGTCCTAGTGACCAAAATGTGCTTAACTGAGATGCTTAAATATTTCTCACTGAGAAATATCCAAACCTGAGAATCTCAGGTTTGGAGCATAATGAACATAAATGGAACATAAATGAAATATATAGAATTATCTGTCGATATCTACATTCATAGCTTGACAGAAGATAAAATCTTGTTAAAGCGATGACAATAATAGTTGTTAGAATGATATATTGGATATTTTATTTTGTTTTCCACAGAAGTAACGTGTTTTTATTAACAATGCGGCTTAAGCGCCTTTTTTTAAGTTTTTATGTTGAATTTTTATTCCGTCCAGGGTTGTCAGGGTTTTTTTCGGGCACAAGCCAAAAATGAAACAAAAATAAACCAGAAATAAACTAGACCATAAAAAAAAAGAAAAAATCATAATTTTTTGTTTCAAAGCCTTGTTTATAATTTATATATTGAAAAAAATGCTTTTTTATCCAAAAATTCATAAATAAAATTTAATTTGTAAGAGAGTGAGGGAGGAGAAGAAGAACGACTTAGTTAATGTTTAATTGGGTGCCAGTCCAGCCTTCAAAGTGGCGTGGGTAAACTAGTTCACTCCCAAACACCTATACTAAATCCAACACTATCAACCTGTAAAGTATATATATGTATGTATATATATATATATATATATATATATATATATATATATATATATATATATATATATATATATAATATATATATATACATATATATATATATATATATATATATATATATATATATATATATATATATATATATATATATATATATATATATATATATATATATATATATATATATATATATAGATATATATATATATAGATATATATATATATATATATATATATATATATATATATATATATATTATTTTGCTTGCATATGGATATAGATTTCTTCTCCAACATCTGCGATAATTAACTCAATTATTTCAAAGTCCTGGTAAAAAATCTTTCGCCTTATTAAATATGATTTGACCCTAATGACTGCATGCAAGACTTAATTTGATATTTTCTTATTCTAATTTTTATGCAGATGACCTGTGAGAAGACTCAACAAAATAGTTAGAAACGGAACACATAAACAGCCAAGGCAGTAAACATCTATATTACAGAGGTCTAGGTCTCCGGAAACATCTAAATGGGTTTACGAAGCAGTTTAGAATTCAGCGGTGTTTTTAGAAACTCATTTTTCTTGAAAGTTTTTAAACTCGCTCTAATGATGCAATGTTAATTAATTTATGATTAATGACGATTTCTGTAATTATTTTCAATTTCTCCACCTTTTTCATCCTTAAGATATAATTGTAGACTTGAAATAGCCTTTTCAACTTGGGAAACAACATTCAATACAGGCAGATTTTTCTTAAAAAATGTCATTTTGAATGTAAGAGTTTTCTAACATTTTTGGCAATTAAAGGATAAAAACAACATTCGAATGACATTACAAGTAAAAGTTTTTAACGTTTTAAGATTTTAACGTAAGCATTTCTTTCATTTATCTTAAACTTGATTGTTCTTCTATAAAATGAAAAAAATGGAAATCTTTCTTTCCCTCAAATTAACTTTTTTCATGAAAAAAAAACTTGATTAAATTGATTTATTATTAAATAAACCAGAGTTAAAGCAGATTTTGAAAAACGTACCAGAACAAACAAAAAAAGAACAAAGACTTTAAAATAAACCAGATTTAAGCCAGATTTTCTAAAATAAACCAAAACAAAAATTTCAAGCCAAACAATAAAAAAACAAACCAGATTTGAGAAATCTGGCTTAAAAAAACACCAGATGGCAACCCTGATTCCGTCACCTAACGTACTATTCCCTCGCCTTACGTTATGGAGAATTTGGTTACCATTGGGTAAACCTTTACTTATGGTCCTAGTAATTTGAGGGACGAATTTATGTTTATCGAACTTGATGTCTAAGAAAACTCGTTTTTATTATTTGTTAACGAATATTCATTAAAATCTGATGTCTTTGTTCAGTATTTGATTAGGTACTCTTCCGATAATTTCATTTACATATATATTTTTAGAACGATTTCACGGTCTTTAAGTCCATGTCTGTCACATTAGTATTGAATATATGTCAAAATGCAAAAAAATTCTGTACTGTTTGTCCTTTAGGCTATAGTGTGATTGGAACGTTGGAAATAAGCAAATAAATTTTTGAAGATATTCGGTGTCTTTATCAGAACGTTTTTTTGTGTGTGTGGAGCCGTTTTACGACTGCTATCTTCGATAGGTGTATCATCTTTTTTTTCTTATATTTGTTATTGTCCCATCAGGGATCTGCAATGTGTCCTTGAAGTAAGATTATCAAATCTTTTTAACATTTCCACATGTATCAGTTAGTTTATAGGTACGACTATTTGTCCTACGGGAGTGATTTGATGTAGTATACATTCTGTGTTTTTCTTTTACATCAACAGAACCTATTACAAAGGCGTTTTTTAAATCCCAGTTTATGGTGTAAAAGTTAGAAAAAATTTGATTACGGCAAACAACTGTTATTTTACTGCTGAACTCTAAATTGCAACCACAATCTCTGTTAATAAAAATCTTTGGTTTAAATACTTCGCCCTTTGTTGTAACCTATCCTTCCCCAGTTAATCTTTTCTGTTTCAGAATATTTCTAAAGAAATATTTTGTTTCAGAAGTCTCTTTTTAAAACCAGTTTTTTTTCGGGTTTCTTTTTCGAAGAAGAAATTATTTTCTTCTTCGTCTTCTCGTCTTCTTCAACAAGATTAACATTTAAATCTGCAATGAAATTGACAGATAAAAATTATTTTCTAATAAGAAAAGAATTCTTAACACAACAAACTAAAAGGCCCTAGCTAGTCTAATGCTAGGTCTAACACCAATGTAAACAATCGGTCCTAAGCCATAATAATAGGGGTTAAAAAACTCCTTGTATTACCTTATTTATTTTTAGAGACTTAGTACATACGATTAACTCCTGGTAATATAGATTCTTGTTTTTGGTTTGTAATAACTCATTTTTATAATATAACGTCTTTTATTTCTAACAGTACTTTTTTTTTCTTGTTATATCTATCAATAACTTGGATGGTTATAGTACCAACAGCTATAAAAAGGATCCATATATTTTCTGCAATAAACCCTACAATTTTATATAAAATATAAAAAATCCAATATAAAATGCTATTTATAATGGGAATTGTGTCTGCAAATTTTGAGGCTAACCACCTTAAAGAGTTTGCAAGGTGATGAAAATAACCTTTCTTTTTTGTGGTTCACCTCCTTCTTTATCATTTTTTCCTTTATCATCTGTCTTTCCTTTGTCTTTAGTTTTTCTTTACCACTAAAAATTCTAATTAGTGCGTAGATAATTGCGATAATAGTAAAATTTACAGCAGAGATTGTAAACCCTTCTTGAGTAAAAAAAATATTTTTTTTTTTGTATTAAACTAAGCCAATCATCATAAGAAAGTGTACTAATAAGTTATCAAATTCTATAATATTGACTGTTAAGTCATAGCTTGTAAAAAGCTTAACATTTACAAATGCTTTGTTAAGATCTTCTAAACATTCGTAACGGTTTTTATTTTCCAACTCTAAATCACCTTGTTCCTCATTCATTAATCTTATTTTTTTGTTATTGTTATTCATTCATTAATCTTATTTTTTTGCCAATTTTATTCAACTTATCTTTAAGTCTACATATCTCAATATTACCATCTTCTATTTTCTCAGCTACAGTTATTAATATCTTCTATGTTCTCGGTTACAGTTATTAACATCTTTTATGTTCTCAGTTACAGTTAATATTTATTTTTTTTATCCTACTTTCCGTTTGATTACTTCCAAAAATGTTTGTAACAACACTTTCAAGTGTTGTAAGTTCATTTAATCCCTTTGTAATAACAGAAGTTGGGTTTATTTTTATTTTTTTAATGAGATTATAATAAGCATGTTAAGATGTGTATCCGAAACTCTTGGTTTTTCCCCTTGATTAAAATCAAGTCCAAAATACTTAACTGATATAGATTTGTTAAAGATTGAACTTTTCTTATTCTATTTTTTTTTATCAAAATATTACATACTTATAAATACTTTCCACGATTCTTACCTAAAAAATACACTTCACATGTTTTTTCACCAGTAGCATTTTCAGTTCAGTTGCAGTTGAACGAGCGCACCAAACTGGAGTTAGATATAACAATAAACCGAGAACAACAGTTTTGAAGCTTTTCAATTAAAAAGATAAATTTAATATTTTAAAAAAACCTATTATGTTAGAAGGTAAAAATATATTTATTAATGAGCTTTTGTGCTGAAACAAATTAAAAAAAATGAATTTAAGAAAAAAAATGATAATAGGCCGACAATCTGGTAAATTTGCATATATCTTCTATGATAAATTAATTATTCGTGAT